TTATTTCGAAACCTTTGACAGTAAGCCAAAACATCGTTCATAATAATGAAGAACTATGTTTCTGAACACAGAAACAACCACCAAGCGTAGAGTGTTACTTGGGCATTTGCTCAAGTAAGTAACGTGTGTTACTCAACTATAGAATGAGATTTTGTAATTAAGAATTCTAACCTTAAGTAATGACTTAACTAAGAAATTACTTGGCAACAAGTAATTACTTCTTTATAAATACGGGTATTATTGTAGACTTCTTAGATAAGGCCCGCTGTCACGGAGACGATAATGATTGTTGCTTTTCGGATAAACTAGAAGAAAAATTAAAATAATTTCCGTCCACGTTATCCGTTTTTTGATAAATTAAACAGTGAACACCAAAAGGTAAAAAACCGACCAAATTCTAAATTAAAAGAGCAATTTACTAATTAACATAAGCGGTTAAGTTGTAGAGCCATGATGGAGCGTAACGCATCACGAATAATAGCGTAAATTAAAACAATTTTCCCTCTAGTGTTTCGCAAGGCGAAAGAAGAGAATCGGAACTCCTTTTTACGCTACGTGGCATTCTATTAGTCCTCAGGAATGACGTTCTGCAACTTGTTTTTTTTTTATAGAATTAGGGCGACAAGTGGCTTCTTGTAAATTTAACATGTTGTTTATTTAAGATTTGTAAGCTGTTGATTTTCCATTACATAAAAATAAAAATAAAATAAATAAATAAGTAAACAAACGGTCCATTTGATGGAAAGTGGATGCATTTACTAGTGTAGACATCTACATCTATCTTCTATTGATAATAAAAATAAAGATGCGTCATGATGTCACCTCTGAAGACTAAGATGGAACGCCTCGATTCCAACAAAAAGCGTCTCCAGTTCTCTACACTCACCATACGAAACACATCATTGAGCAGCTATTTTACGCCGGTATTCTATGAGAGCGTGGTCGTTCTCCGGTCGAGCTGACTCATTCGTGTTACAACCATAAGATAGCTGCAGCATGCACCTACTACATTAAAATCGAGTAGTTTTTTCAATCGATAATAGATGTAAAACTTGCTTTGGTCACAGCATCCACTAATCATCAGGTAGTCTACTTTATTAGTCCTTGCTTTTATGTAAGAACAATATAATCTAGCCATATTTGGTTCTAGTCATTCATTACCTTTAATGAGTTTGAAATATTTTTAATAAACAGAACGCCAACGACGATTTCGTTCTGCGTTTACAAATTACTCAGGCAATTTAATAAACATATTGAGACATAAAAGCTTCTGCATAAATAGCAATTATTTGCTTCGCAGTAGCTTTGGTATGATATATAATTGCGGGTGGTAGTCCAGAGAATACGATGATGTCTTGAGGGTTAGGTGTACCACTATAATTATAGTATTGGGAACCTATAATTTTAGTAATCTGGTTATCACGCGAGCGGAAAATTTATTTGCTTCCCAATAAAAGTTACAAGAATATTTATTTTAAGAATACTAAAGTATTTTTGATGTATATGTTTTAATCGCAACTAGTGTTATATACATAACACAATTTTATTATTATAATAATTTTATTATTATGCTCCATCTCTTTCTTGGACTTTAACTTAGTCATTAGTGTCCCGTGCCAATATTAGCAAATCAGAGCACTTATGATCTATATTCGAGATGTTTTTGCTGTTAGTCTATGCGACTCATACAGCTTCGTCTGGAGCGAATTAAAAAAGGGAAAGGCAGTGAACGTGAGGATGATGATGATAATGGTTTATGGTTTGGTATTGTTACCAATCATCATGTCGCCTTGTTAGGCGTTATTGAGCTATCTAACCGCGGTCCAAGGGGGGGGGAGGGGGTTCCGCCTCTGACTGCTCAACTCGTGTTGGTCGATGATCTGGGCGGTAAGGACCGCCCAGGTACGCGGGTGTACGGTGTGTACGCGGTGTGTGCTGAAACGCGTCATGCCCGTCTACGGGTGCGACGCGCCCCATTCGTAAACCTATTAGTGTTTGTCCCAATTTGTGTGGGTGTAGTGTCATTGTGTGATGTACCTGCGACGTTTTGGTCGACTGGATTGAGCGATCGCGGTGGTTCTATTGGGTCAACTACACACGGGGTTCAATCAACGCTCTCCAAGTACAATATAATAATGGTATGAGGATGTTGTTGGGACTTCCAGGTTACTGTGGTGCATCCGGGATGTTTGCGTTGGCGCACACTGATGGGTTTCATACTGTAGTGAGCAACCAAATCGCATCCCTGCTGCGCATAGTGCGGCGGAGCGTCAACACCATTCTTGGAGTTATCAGTGAAAAGCCTGACTGCCCGATACTGCGGCATTGGGTGTACGCGCACACACATGTCAAAGGGGAATCGCGCAGTGCAGGCAGATATTTAAACTAGAATAAATCTTTTCCAAGAAATGTTATTAACATAGTTTGTAAGATCTCTTTTTATGCAACTAACAATATGGACAAGCGTCTGAATAAATCAATTTTTTATTTTTTATTTTAGTGAAACAATATATTGTAATAAAAAACTGTGATTATAAAAATAATAATAAAATCTTACCTTGTTCAACCTAATTTGATATTAGGTTTTTGGAATATTTTGTATGGGTAAGGTTTACAATTAAGTCGCCCGAATTAGGGGGTATAGGGTGGTGTGAGGGGGGAGGGGGAGGAGTTGTAGAGTCCCTCCCTACTTCCCCTTCCTGCCGAACGTGCTTAGTTTTTTTTTATAAATATTTAAAAATCTCATTTTGAGGTTATGTTTTGTAATTTTTAACCTGATTTATGGGGAGAGAGAGTTGGGGGACGGAAGCGCCACGCCACTAAACGTGGTGCAGAAGAGGGAAGCTCAGTGGTTTATAAAAAAATAACCATGAAGGGGATGGCGGGGTCTGTTGGCTCGCTTCGCTCGCTCACTCGACCCCGTCATGCCCTTCTAACCTAACCTGTCCGAGTCGGGGTGCCCCACATCCTAGCCTCGCTTCGCTCGCTATTGCACTCATTATAACACCAAAACATTAATCTTTGTAATACTTTAATTTATAAACATAATTAATGCTTTGTAAGACCTGTTGCCATTTGTAAGAAAGGATCTTTGCGATATTTAGCACTATTCAGCCGCCACAAATATTCCACTATTCGCCAAAATTCTTAAACTCGGAAGCAACGGTATGACGGCATGACGTAAAGCTGTCAACAAAATGGCCGGCCTAGCGATTAATTTTACACATTTTTAAATTTATTCGAATCGAAATTGGATGAATCGATTCACAAAAAATAGAAAACCGATTTCGCAAAAACCGTCCTTTTTTATTTGCGTTAAGAGTTCATATTTAAAATATCACAAGATATAATAAAGTACAGATAACATTGAATAAATTGAATTGAAAACCTGTCATTCCCTACGAGTTGGGGTAAATTCAACTAATTGTAAATAATTTTGTAGTTCTTAATAAAATAGAAAAGATTCGATCTCGATTATCTAGGTCTAGGGTGAAATATCGATTCACTAGATCGATTCAGTACTATATATCGATATGAATGAATGATATAAAACGTGACAATATTTAATATTTAGTCATTTACAAATATTTTTAAAAAATAATGCTGCTCTGGCAGCAAAAACCGTGTGTAGATGCTTCAGATAAACCCCCTTGACCGCCCCCCCCCCACGGTGACAGAATCCTCAAATTCAGACGACCTAATTGTAAACCCATTTCTACACCGATCGATATTTTACATCAGGAGCCGCTGTAAACAAACGATACAGTAACCCACTCACGATTTTTAAGTGGTAGAGCCATGCTGCAGTTATATTAGAAGTATAGTTGTAGCACGAATGGGTCAGCTCGACCGGGGAAGGACCACGCTCTCACAGAATACCAGCGTAAAATAGCAGCTTAATGCTGCTGTGTTTCGTATGGTGAGTGTAGAGAACCGGAGACCCTTTTTACTGGAAACGAGGCATTCCATCTTAGTCCCCACGGGTGACAACGCATCTGCATTTTGATTCGTAATCGAGTGTAGATGCGGATGTCTATGGGCCACAGCAACCACTTACCAGGGTCAAACACAAAAACGTATAAAAAAGTGTTCAAGTTAAATTATTTCCAGATGTACATTATTAGAGCGTGTTTATGTTTTTAATACTGAAGATTATGTTGCCGGCATACTATATTCAATCTCATTTTGTTTACAAAAATAAAATAATTAATTTACTGCTTTCGTTCATACCAAAATGTCTCCTACTGTAGACTGTTCGGATGCTTAGCACCTCAGTTTGATAGATGTTTAAAAATATTTCAAGAGCAATAAATAAAATTATTTTAATGTGAATGTATGTAAAAATTAAACAACTTTTTATAATAGCGTAGATCAAAAAATCGGCAATCCATATTGACGAATTAAAACATATAAACATATTGTTCGAATATTTGTAGTCTACTACTGTAGACACGTAAATCTCGCACAATTTTAAATATTTCGAACGCACCCAATATATTTATTGGGTTATGTTGGCATCACTGCTTAATACGTCGCTCATTCGTTCGTGATTTTTATAAATGGCGTCTGCGTTGGTGCAAAAATATTAATATTAAAGGATACACAAGATTTTGGTCGTGTTTTGGAGATCTTTTCTGTGTTGCGTATATTTTGGTAAGTAAATAATTAAAAATTATATAAATCGTAATCGTTTATCTGCATTATGGATAGGTTTGTAAAATCCAACATGTTTTCATTTTAACCTCAAAATATTTTAAGATATCTAATTTTTTTTACACTATGTCTTTCCTGTAGACGTCTTTCATGTAGATGCATGTGTCTACAGAAGATACCGTTGTCTACAGAAGAAACGTAAAATGAGTTTCACTGTGGTTTTAGCCATGTGAAACTTATTTTACGTCTCTTCTTTACGTCTTTTTCTCTGTAAGGGACATGCATGACGTAGGAAGCATCCTCAAAATGTGTGGAAATGATGTAAATATTGTTTTGTTACAGTTACGATGCCACGGGCAAGTAGAAGTAAGATTCAGCCTTCCGAGGGAGAGAAAAAAAGGCGCAGGCGGGAACAAAAGAAGCTCAGTATCCGTCGTGCACGTGCTAAAGTGAATGAAGCAGAATTAGAAGAAAGAAGAAGCCAGGACAGGGAAAGATATCGACGAAAAAAGGAACAAGGCAAAACTAAAACTATTAAAGACTACACCCCTAGAGAACAACGCCAAATCAGAAAAATATGGAGGGAAAAGGCTAAATTAAGACGTCAGAAGGAAAAAAATAGTAAAAATGCTTTGCGTTTCGTTGAACAGAACACTCCACCGTCTAGTCCCTCATTTTCGCGTATTAATGTTGGGAATGCTATTGAGAAACGCAATGCGCGAATATTAAGAATCGAAAATAACTATCTAAAAAAAGGAACACTTGAGCTGGAATCTAAAATGGCAAAATACCGTATGAGAGCTATTCGATCTTCTAATAAAGAAAACAAAGAAAAGACAGTTCCTCAAAAAAAGCTTAAGAAAGTGCAAGAAAGAAAAAAAGCAGTAGAAGTTTTTTTGCTTCAAGATGGAAATAGCACACTTACATCAAGAAAAAAAGACACCATAACAAGAAAAAAAATTAAGAAACAAGTACGTTTTTTGAATGATTCTCTTTTAAACCTACATAAAGCTTTTGTTAATAAGTCTGGTACTAATATCTCGTATGAAACTTTTCGGAGATATCGTCCATTCTGGTTGCTGTTTCCCAAACTTAACGCCAGAAACACTTGCTTACGTACCATACACGCTAATAATAGTTTTATAATTCAATCTCTTCATAATGCTAAGATGATTTCTTATAAATCTATATCGGATTTGCTAAAGTATTTATGCTGTAACAATACGCTAAGCTTGAGTTGCTTAGAAAAGAAATGTTCTGGTTGCAAAGACAAAACTTGCGCAGTGTAATGTTTTTGATGCTAATGACACTATATCATTTGAAAGGTGGGTCACAAAAAGTGTTCCTGTTGTTATCAATAATACTACAAAGCAGTGTCGAAAAACTATCAAAGAAAAGGTGCAAACCACAAAAAAACAACTATTTGAAAAATTAATCTTAAATTTACCTACTTTAAGAAAACATGTGGTAAACATGATTCATCAAATTAAATCTATACAATATGTTAAACAAAATTTGTCTACCGTTGAGGGATTATTACACATAGACTTCTCAGAAAATTATAGTTGTAAGTATGGACAAGAGGTCCAGTCGGCGCATTTTGGTGGATCAAAATCGCAAATCTCGTTGCATACAAGCGTATATTATAATACCAAGTTAGAGTCCCCTAACAATTATACAAATAGCTCTTCTTTCTGTACCGCATCAGAAAACCTCCGACATGACCCAACTGCTATATGTATCCACTTAATTGCTATAATAAAAATAATTAAGGAACTGTCCCCTGAATTGCAAACTTTACACATTTTAAGCGATGGTCCTCTAACTCAGTACCGCAACAAATCCATGTTTTTTTAATCGCGACATTATTAAGCAAAGAATTTTCTGTGACATACATTATTTGGCATTTTAGTGAACGAGAACATGGTAAAGGTGCACCCGATGGTGTTGGAGGGTGCATCAAGCGCATTTGCGATAGTCGTGTCGCAAAGGGAAATGACATATCTAATTTAGATGATTTAATGGCATGCTTATCTGTAAATTGTAAAGGTATAGAGGTTTTTGAAATCGACGAGTCAAGGTTTCCTGAAATCGATCTACTTTTGAAGGAGAGCGCTACACGTCCTTTTAAAGGTACGCTCGAAATACATCAGATTACATGGCATAAACAAAATCCTTATGCTCTCCATGCCAGGCGATTAAGCTGCTTGGATTGCGCAGCCCACGATAAATGTCCTCATTATGAAATTGGGCAGATTCGAATACAGTTTAAAGCTTCCAATTCTCCCACTGATTCCGAATTATCTGATCATCATTTTTCCAATATGTCGCTGGCATCTCCTCAAGCAGGGCCCTCCTAATCGCAACCCATTTTTTGAAGCTTACTCACCTGCAAGTACAGGATAATACTACAACTGAACCAATATCACCCGGTTTTTCTGAAAGATTGACACCTGATAATCTAATTGAAAACTTATCTTTACAAAGCCAGACCTATGAAAAGCGCACCTCACGTTCGTATCATCTTAGACGAATCTGAGTCTTCCGTAGAAATGACGCCAAAGAAACGCCAAATGCCTTTTATTATGGACGATTCTGACGATGAGAGTATATTTTAATTGTTTTTCTTTATTTAAAGAAAGGACGTCCAGTCTGTAGACATTTTTTTTAAATTTTATATTCCGAGATACTGTAACTCTCGCACATTGCTTGCTATGGAGATTGAATACCTACTATGTTGAATATTTTAAATTAGGTTTTTCAAATATATCATAACTTTCTGATTACTAAATAAGGTATAATATGTTACCACCTGTCGACAACCTGGAAAAAATTCTTTGGAATTTCTACAGGAAAGATGTCCATTCTGTGAGCGATTTTCATTATTTTTTAATTTTCTAAAATACTTCAATTTTCAAATATTATTCTGTCTTGTAACGAAAATGTTTTTATTTTAATCATTATAAATTAAGTTCTGTAAACAAATCATAATAATATGATTACATAAATAAGGTTTACGTTATTATCTGTAGACAATTAGATTTTTTCTGTGGCCTTATAAAAATAAAAAGTGTTATTTTTCGAGAGAATATATAATATTGATCTATGTCGATAATATTAGGAATTATAAGAGACTATTACACGAATAAAGGTTGATTTTCAAACTGATATGTGAGGTTTTATTTTATGGAAATGATGAACTACATTTTTGTGTTTGACCCACCATCACGTGGACTGTGTGCTCGTGTCACCCTATACTATAAAAAAATACGATGGCGGCCGTATATATACGTAGGCGCATATATATATATATATATATATATATATATATATATATATATATATATATATATATGGCTTATGTTAATAGATGTGACAATAAAGTTGCAAACTAGGGATACGAGATGGAGCTAGTTATGCATTGCCATTTAATAGGTCGAAGATTGGTCTCTATTTCAGTTTATACAAAGGTACTCTGTGGCCTGGAGTGAGTCAAAGTGTATCAGTATTTAGTAAAATATAAGGCTGCAGATACACCAAAAATTCGGAATTTCTCAGCCGAAAGCAATTAATTATAACTAAACAAAACAAAATTAAACAGCGTTTTAATGGCTTTCCAAATTCAATCTAATTCAATCTTTAAAAAAAAAAACATTGAATTAAACAATTCATATTTTTAAAAGTTATCGTGTTTACCCCTCCATGCAGACTTGATAAATCTACACCATAAATCACTAAAACTACTTTTTTTAATTTAAAAATAGCAATTAATCGGTTAAAAAATAATTTATACAATCATTTATCTTTCTGACAATGTGCTTTTTATATTATTTATATTACCTATGTTCAATATGATTGTTAGATACGATTTCATGCGAAAAAACGTTGGATTCTTGATTTTAGGGCGCTAATAGAACATACCTACGCGCTTTGTGCTTCGGGCATGCAAAAGATCCTTTCTTTCCTCGATCCTTTTATAAACCACAGACTGATGGACGGCAATAATAAAAAAAAATCATCGTACTTTATTTCTTAATAATAAGTATTGCGAAGCTTAATAAAAGCATCAGGATTATTCATTATTGTTTACTCTCACTATTTCTTCAGTTGTTAGTGCAATACCTATATAAAAATAATAAACTCGTTAATGTGAGTGCGTAGCGTGACCTTGACAAGTCGACGATAAATCCTAACTTCTCCGCTTCGCGTTCGACTCGAGCAACATTATCTATGTTTTTCCTCGGGAATAGACGGGAATAAAAACATTTATGTGTTAAATACGTTAATATCCCTAAGTAAGTCCATCTTCATCAAAAGCAAACTTTAAACTCTACATAATACGTGTTATGGATCATTATTATTTACACTTTAATCAAGAGCGTAGATTCGTTTATAAGGTAATAAAATAAAAAGTCGATCAACCGGATAGCGTGTTACGCAAGAGTAGATAATAAATAAAAAGTGGTTTCCCTTTCGAGTCGATAGGAAGTTCAACACCCGCCCACAAACCGGAATGAGATCACTTTAGACTTTGTAAGCTTTTTACATTTTTTATTCAACTTTTTTTATATTCCGTAATTTAAAGAAACTTTTTCTTAGGCCATCTGTATGTTGATTGCATCTTATGCTTCAGGGGTGACAAGGTGGGCAACACAAGGGACCGCAGCGTGGCTCTACCGTGTATGGAAATACTATAGAATAATATAGGTTAAAACATTACAATAAAAGAAGAACATAACACACACACATAAACAACTTCTATTACGTGGTAGAGCTACGCTGCAGCTATATTGTGGCTGTAGCACGAATGGGTCGGCTCGACCGGGGAAGGACCACGCTCTCACAGAAAATCAGCGTAAAATAGCAGCCTAGTACTGCTATTTCATATGGTAATTATTAACAATAAAAATGCGGAGGGCCCTTTTTTACTGGAAACGAGACATTCCATCTTAGTCTTCAGAGGTGACAACGCATTTGCATTTTGATTCTTGATTGAGGATAAATGTAGATGTCTATTGGGCCACAGCATCCACTTACCATCAGGTGGACTGTATGCTCGTTTATCACCCTTATTCAATAAAAGAATGACATAGTGTTACACAATCGCACTACAATTCCTGACGGCTCACTGATAGAAAGTGTCGACCGCCGCTCATGAACAACTGCAACACCATGGGAATCGCAAGTGCATTGCCGGCCTTTAAAAGTGGGCTTTTTTGGGGTTCCCTAAATATATTATCTGTCATCTAGTCCGAAAAAATCGCTGGTGGTAGTTGATTCTACAAGGAAGTTGTGCGAGGAAGTAAACTTCAAAAGTTTAATTTCAACGTGTACTGCAAGAAGATTAATTTCTGTTTGAATTCAAAGCTTCAATGTGTGACTTATCACCTTATCCGGCTGTGTAAATTTATAATGGGGTCGATCGTAAATAAATAGTTGTTATTGAAGTATTATTTATAAATATTATTCACATGTGAATGTTAAGTAAAGTTACAGCCCTAGTGTGTCCTACTGCTGGGCAGAGACCTAATTTTATTTGTAAGAGGGTTATGTGAAGTTACCTGGTATAGTGGATATGGGATATGGGTAGTTATAAGGTATAGTAGTAACACGGGTATAAACGTAGATTTTAAAATATACTTATAGATTTCGCCTTAAAATTTCATTTCATGGAAGCAAGCCGAGTTCACTCCCTAGCGGTAGCAATAAAATTGTTTATTGTTATTTTAAGTGCTGATTTACCACGTGTTCGGCGATGTTAAAAATATTATGAAGAAACCTGCATGCCTTAACTTAAAATATTTCCAAGACATGTAATGTCCGATAACACATATTGATGTAAAACCCTCTCAGAAATAAAATTAGACAAGCGCCCTACAATGGGACGTGTATAAGTTTCACTTACTTTTTATATCAAATTAGTTTATATACGTCACGTATACTTTAAAACTTGAAAAGAAGGCATGATAAATTAATCTGAGACACGGTCCGTCAATGTTTTTTTATAGCATTTGGTGACAAATGAGCACACCATCCATATTTATCCTCAATTAAGAATCATAACGCAAATGCGTTGTCACTTCTGAAGACTAAGAAGGAATGCCTCGATTCAAGTAAAATGGGTGTTAGGTTCTCTACACTCACCATTCGAAACACAGCAACATTACGCTACTGTTTTACGCTGGTATTCTGTGAGACCGTTGTTCTCCCCGGTTGAGCCAACCCTTTCGTGCTATAATTATAATATAGCTGCAGCGTGGCTCTACCACGGACAAATCTATGTGATCTATGTCCAGCTATGTACTTGTGATGTTCTGTAATGAAGATGATGATGATGATGATGTTCATTTACAGATGTGAAAGTATGGTGCTTAAAATGTATAAGGGCGTGTGAGCAAAGTTCGGTATTATGTTAAGCATGAGCACTATCCCTTTTTCGTTGTATTGCAAATAATGAAGAAATTAACTTTTATTAATTGATAACACCCGACATAAAAGCTATAGGTTTTTACTTATCAGTAGAAGTTTAATTTTTAGCACGTTTTTATGAAGTCACTTTCTTATTTGTTTGTCTGTCTGTTCCGGGTGGAATTTAGTAATTGATTTTAAACTAACTTCCCGACGATCTAAAACTCGAAATTTTGAATATAGCTCAAATTCAGATGACAATGCAAGAATATGATAAAAAACGTGGTAAAAAAATAAACACTTGTTTTACTCTTTTGAATGGACTAAGCAATATTGCAAGCTCGAGTATATATGAATAATTTTGAAACTATTAAAAAAATCATTAACTAAATAATCGTCATCCTATTCAATAAAAAAATAAATTATAATAAAAAATAACGTAATACGATCACGAATGTGTTATACGTTTCCATGAATCCCCACTTTATGATATAGACTTGTTAAATTAAAGTATTATAAATTTAATATACTTTGGCAAGTTTTAAGCAATTCTTCTTTCTATTTTCATGTGTAAGCTTTTAATTCCATTTATAGATTTAAATTTGTATTGCAATATTGTTTTTTATAGGATATAACTCCCCTGGTAAATGTTTTCTGTGGCCCATAGACATCTACATCTATCCTCGATTACGAATCTAAATGCAGATGCGTTGTCATCCATGAGGAATAAGACGGAATGCCTAGTTTCCAGTAAAAAGGTCTTCGGTTCTCTATACCCATCGCACGAAACACAGCGAAATTAAGCTACTATTTTACGCTGGTATTCTGTGAGAGCGTGGTCCTTCCCCGGTCGAGCCGACCCATTCGTATTGCAACCACAATATAACTGCAGCATGGCTCTACCACGTACAAAAATTGCAGTAATTGGTTTTGTAAACTTACATTAGATTCT